TTCTTTAGGTGCAACTTCATCTATTGCTAGATCTTCTTATAATGTAAACTCAAAATAATAAAAATGTATACTTGTATTCCGTTTCTTGACCGTAAATGATCAGAGGCCTTTTTCAATGTATTTTCTACTGAAATGTATCCCTAAAATGGAAGCATAGTTTCAGTAAATCTTACCCTCTCTTTGTCTAAAATCCAGAATTTGCAACCATTTTAGCTCATCTTATCATTTGTCAATATATAGATGGATGCTTTTTTTTTCAGGGAAGCTTTTTCCCATTAATACTTGCTAGCCCAAATATGGGTGGTCACTTATTCCCTTGAAATCACTTTGTGGATTCCAGAGCAAAGTGCAGACACTAAAGTATATTTTGCCATACTGTTGATTCATACTTAACTCTTAACAGCAGAAATCAAACTATACCCTTCCACTTTCTTTCCCTTTCACAACCTTTGTATGATTCTTATGCAAATTACGGTGTGCAGGTGAAGCATGGAGTTGGGGTAGAGGAGATTGTGAATCATATCCTACAAGCTTGGGAGATCGCAACGGGAAAGAAGCGTCACTAGTTTTTCTTCATTCGGATAAGAATGCTGCAAATTTGGAGCGTACTGTAGTTGCTCTTTGTTATGAGACCACTAAGTACTGAAACAGCAGTGCTTGTTGTTGTAGCTCATGTTGTATTAGTTGGAGTTGATTGCTGCAAATTAAGTAAATGGAGTGTAACTGGTGTACCAGAGAAATGCAGAGTCTATATCCAGCGAAAAGATTGTTTGTTTTCAAGCTGTTGTGTGCTTGAGAGGGGATTTTTCTTTGTTCCATCTTTTCTTGATGTAGCTTCTAGTGGCCTTGAGCTGCCTAAAAAATTAGCTCCCTCTTTCAAATTAGGCACAGCTCAAGCTGCTAATAAATTTCTTACTACGTACAAGTATTTTACCTAGATGGGCATATTGGGATTTGATAGGGAAAATATCAGATACGCTCTGACACCTGTTCTGTGGAATTTGCCCTACCTGATCTTGTGTTAAGCAATGAAAAAAAAATCACAACAAATCAAAAACAAGAACAAAGAACACCGAATTTAATGAGGTTCGGCAACTTGCCTACGTTCTTGGGAACCACACAAATAATTTTCTTTATGTTAAAAGAAGATTACAAAGCTTGTAAATAGCAGATCTCAACTTGAGATCTCTCAAAAAAGAAAGAAGCAGAAACCTCAATATGTTCTCTTTTAAAAGGGCGTGAGATTTTACAACAGTAAAATCTCCTCTCAAGTTTCGCTGAGAAAATCGCTACAGGAACTTAGGAGAATTTTCCTCTGAAAAATTCTCCCCTTTATGACAGCCGCCAAGAGTAAAAGCTCTGAGAAGAAAAATCGGGGCTGCAGCTTTTTCTCGTGCACAGGGTTCCCTTAAATAGGGAGCAGAAAGGGGAGTGAGATCCAGCTGGATCCAACACAGCACACAGGAGAACTTCGCCTTCGCCTCCACGTTCGTAGTAGGCGAGAGTCCCTCTCCACACACAGGCGACAAAAGGGGAAAGGGCGAAACTTCGAGCTCGCCCGCAGGAGACTTCGCTTGCAGTTCTTCACCAAGTCGCCTGACATTTGTTCCAAGAATCCGCATGCAAGGGGATTTCGCCAGCACGAGGTCACCGACCTCGAGTTCGCCAGGAGAGCATCGCCTGCAACCAAGTCGCCTTCGCCCGACTCCAAGCTCCGATCTCGAGTTCGTCTGAGCTCGCCTCCGCCGCTTGACCTCGCTGGAGCTCGCCGCCGACGAGGTTTGGGTCTACACCCATTTCCAACAATCTCCCACTTGGAAATCAAACCGTCGTCAGCAAGCTCTGTCTTAACAAGCATCTTCTCCTGTATGGTTCCGCCCTCATCTCTTACATATGAAGGCCAACTGAAGTTGCGCACAACTCCAGTTTTTGAATGGTGACTGCCTTAGTCAACATATCTGCAGGATTTTGGCTCTCCAAAATCTTCTCTAACTGTAACTTCCCGTCCTCAATCATCAAGCGTATGAAGTGGTAACGTAACTCGATGTGCTTCGTTCTGGCATGAAACACTGGGTTCTTGGCAAGGTGTATAGCACTCTGGCTATCACAATAAAGAACTTCGTTCCCCCGCTTCAGACCCAACTCTTCCAGGCACCCTGTTAACCAAATCATCTCCTTGCTCGCCTCTGTCACCGCGACATACTCTGCCTCAGTTGTGGACAACGTCACAATCTTCTACAAACGTGAGACCCAGCTCACTACTGTCGACCCTAAGGTATAAACATACCCCGTGGTGCTTCGTCTCGTATCATGATCACCGGCAAAATCTGCATTCACGTATCCCTGCAGTACCAACTCCTTTCTCCCGAAACACAGTGGCATATTCGTAGTCCCTCTCAGATATCGCAATATCCACTTCACGGCCTCTAATGCTGTTTCCCTAGGTTGCTTGCAAACCTGCTCACAACTCCCACTGCATGGGCAATATCCGGCCTCGTACAAACCATTGCGTACATCAGACTACCAATGGCTGATGAATACGGCACCTTCCTCATGTGCTCTTTCTCTGCATCAGTCTTGGATGATTGTTCACCAGACAACTTGAACTGGCTTCCAAGGGGCGTGCTAACGATCTTAGCATTCTGCATGTTGAATCTTAGCATTCTGCATGTTGAATCTCTGAAGTACTTTCTCAATGTATTCAGACTGACTCAACTTCAACGTCCCCTCAGCCGCATCATGGCTGATCCGCATCCCAAGAATCTGCTTCGCTGCACTCAGATCCTTCATGGCAAACTCCTTTGCTAACTGCTTCTTCAACTTGTTTATCTCCTGTAAACACGGTCCTACAACTAACATGTCATCAACATACAGCAATAACACGATATAGCTGGACTCGAACCTCTTGAAGTAACAACAATGATCTGAATTACATCTGCCATAGCCATTGCTTTGCATGAAGTTATCGAACTTCTTATACCACTGCCGTGGAGCCTGTTTCAATCCGTATAAGCTCTTCTTGAGCCTACACACCATCTCTTCATTTCCTTCCTCAATAAAGCCAACAAGTTACTTTATGTAGATTTATTCATCCAAGTCGCCATGAAGAAAGGCAGTCTTCACATCTAACTGCTCAAGGTAGAGATTTTCAGCAGCTACAAAGCTCAAACACCACCCTGATTGTTGTGAGCTTCACAACGGGGGAAAATATCTCCGTATAATCCACTCCTTCCCGCTGTTGGAACCCCTTTACGACTAATCTGGCCTTGTATCTATTCCTTCCATCACTCTCCTTCTTAACTCGGTAAACCCACTTGTTATGTAAGGCCTTCTTCTGTGCAGGTAGCTGGGCTAACTCCCATGTCTCGTTCGAGTAGAGAGAATCCATCTCTTCTTGCATTGCATGCTCCCACTGCTGAGATTCGCTCACTTGCATAGCCTCCTCATAGCATTCTGGTTCTCTGTCATCTGTCAAAAGTAGGTAATCTAGTGACGAGAGATACCTGGGATTCGGTTTGGGTACTCTGGATGACCTCCTAAGCTCCTCGCCCTGGGTAGTCGGTTCTGCACCTGGAGTCTCCTCCGTTCTTTAGTCAGAATTAACGTTGTCTCCCCCATCCGGAAGTTCCTCCAAATCCATGTACTCGAATGCGTCTGCATCTGTAGTGCTGCTCCCACTGCTTTGGCCCGCCTTAGCATTTTCTCTATTCTTGTACATCACTTCCTCATTGAATATGACGTCTCGGCTTCTGATGATTTTCCTGTTCTTCTCATCCCACAGACGAATACCCGAACTCATCAATACCGTATCCAATGAATGTACATTTCAGTGACTTAGCTTCTAGCTTGTCCCTGACATGGTCACTGATGTGGACATATGCCACGCACCCAAAGACTCTTAAGTGTGAGAGATTAATTTTCTTACCACTCCAAACCTCTTTCGGAATCCCAAAGTTCAATGGAACTGATGGCCCGTGATTTAACAGGTACGCTGCTGTATGCACCGCGTCCGCCCAAAAAGTTTTTGGTAGACCTACATGTAGACGCATGCTCCTCGCACGCTCTGTCAGCATTCTGTTCATCCTTTCTGCTATACCGTTCTGTTGCGACATCCCTGGAGTAGTCCTCTCCAAACGAATCCCGTTCAGAGCACAGAACTTCTTGATCTCCTCCAATTCATATTCCCCACCATTGTCTGATCTCAAACACTTTACTTTTAGATCTGTCTCGTTCTCCACTATGGCTTTCCACTTCTTGAAGATGCTGAACACCTCCGATTTGTGCTTCATGAAGTATACCCACACCTTCCTCGAGTGATCGCCGATAAAGGTGACGTAGTACGTCGAACCGCCAAGAGAAGACATGCTAGCTGGACCCCATACGTCTGTATGAACAAGCTCTAGCTTGTGAGCTTTAGGTGGTCTTCCATCCTTCGGAAAACTAACTCTCTTCTGCTTCCCGAAGATGCAGTCTTCGCAAATACCAACTTTCACCGAATCGATGCCGGTTAGTTTCCCTTCTGAGTGTAAAATCTTCATACCCTTCTCACTCATGTGTCTCAGCCTATTATGCCACAGATCTGCACTCTCCTTGTCTGCTGCAATCGCGAGGGTGTCACTCGCGTGTGAAGTTAAGTAGAGGGTACCGGTCTTGTTGCCACGGGTAACCACCATTGTACCGTTGGAGATTTTCCACGAATCTCCGGTGAATGTTGTAACATAGCCTTCTGCTCTAAGCTAACCTACCGAAATAAGATTCCTCTTCAACTTTGGTACGTGTCTGACATTCTTCAGAGACCACTTAGAGCCCTTCAACTGTATTTGCACGTCGCCTCTCCCAATTACACTACAGGGTTCATTATCTCCCAAGTATACTTTTCCAAAGTCCTCTGCTACATAGTTCTGAAATAGCCTTCTATTAGCAGTGGCGTGGAATGAGGCTCCCGAATCAATAACCCATGAATCAGAATCGCTATCCATAGCGAGAATCAGTGCATCTTGCACAATATGAGCCTCCTGCTCATTTTTCTTTGGTGCTTTACAGGTAGAAGACATGTGGCCCTCCTGGCCACAATTCCAACATTTCCCCTTGATAGGTCTCACCTTCGAGTTCGACCTCTTCTTCTTCGACTTCAATTGATTCCTATTTTGGTTCCCCCTGTTATGGCTTCTGCCTCTCTGCTCGAGACTTAGGGCTGAACCCGAACCTTCTGATTCATTCGATTTTCTTCTCACCTCCTCAGATAGAATCATAGCTACCACCTCCTTCAGCTTTAACTTCTCTTTTCCCGCCGAGTTACTGATTGTGGTCACGCAACCTACCCAACTATCTGGTAACTGCGATAGTATCAATAGGGCATGCACTTCGTCATCAAACTTGATGTTGACTGAGATAAGTTGATCAACAATCGTGTTAAACTCGCTGAGATGCATCGTGAAGGAACATCATTCTGCCATCTTGATGTTGAATAGCGTCTTGACGAGATGCACCTTATTTGCAGCTGACGGTTGCTCGTACATCGTTGTGAGTGCTTCCATAAGCCCAACCGCCGTCTTCTCCTTTAATATATTGTGTGCTACAGATTTTGCGAGGGCCAATCGGACCTGCCCCAGGGCTTTTCGATCCAATATTTCCCAGTCCTCGTCGGATTCTTCTTTCTTCTTTCCTTTTGCTTTACCCATCAACGGACGGTAAATATCCTTCTGGTACAGATAGTCTTCCATCTGTGACTTCCAGTAGGCGAAGTCTGATCCGTCAAACTTCTCAATTTTTGATTTGCCTTCTTCTACCATTTCTTACACACACAGATCTGAACA